ATATGATCTAAAGAGAAGTTAAGATATCTAAAGAGAAGTAAGAATATCAATATGATCTAAAGAGACAGTTGGCTAAGCACCAACTATTGACATACAAAACTACTTCAAACATGCGGCATCAATTCAGAACTAACTCTTCTACTACCACTTTTAACACCGCTGCTTAAATACTGAATCCGAAGTCACTTAGATTTGCATACTGCGTCATTAAACTTTGCATTATGGCAAGAAACTGGATTCGGAGGGAAAGGAAAGTTTCACAAACTAAAAAAAATTGGTTAAAATAAAATAAGGTCTTTACAAACTAATTACTAATGCAAGAAAATGTAGCTGTTCAATTTTCAAATATTTCATTAAGTCATTAACTTTCTATTAATGGTATATTTAATTATTAATATATTACAATTAGGCGTATATTCTGATACACAGCTTTCCAGCATGATGTTGTTTTTATATGCTCCGGAGTCAACATATTTTTGGACTTGCTTTTTATTGTGCCTTCTCACCGAGGTAATATTGATCAAAAAATGCTTTCTTTGTTAGTGCACATGTGAGTATGTTTTTGTATTTAATAGAGTTCATTATTTTAACTTCCTGTGCTTTTTAGTGTGATATTAATAAGAACATTAATAATCTCTAATACAGCTTCCGATTTCTTAATAAAACAAAATGTTTCCAAAGTCACTTCTGTTATGTCTAATTCTGAGAAATAATTTTTCTAAGCAATAAAATAGGCGTAATAGAAAGCTCGTCGTGGAATCTTCTTTTAAATTCTGAGTTAAGTAACAGAAGGTTTTCAGCACGCTTAGATAGATCATAATCTAGAATAAATTCCGAGTCTAAGATGAGATTAAATGAAGGAAATTACTGACAGTCTTTCTCCAATAAAAGTTGTTCTACAAATCGAGTTTTGACAGATACTGAGCTCATCATTTCCAACACATGCTTTCCTTTTCCTTGCAACGTGGTATTTATGTCGTTGGGTTTTGTATTGATATCAATTTAAAATACCAAGTCAACATGTCACTCCATGTCACGCAATTTTTGTCATAATTGTCTTTAAATGTTAAAAAAAAAAATTTATTCCCCGATAGCATCCCCACAAATCTTGTTAAAACTTTTCCTTAACTCAGCCATCTTACATCTGCATGGAAATTATATCACCATATTCGCTATCTAGCTCATCAAGCAAAGCTTTAAAAAGTAGATGATTCAACTCTGTCCTCGGATAATATTTATAGTGCATATAATAACAGTCATTAAGAGATTGAGAATGAGGTTTTAGCGGTCATATTTTGTTGACAAATAATTCAATGATATGAATTAAATATGGAAAATGTGTCTTTTTGCTAACAAAGCCCAATAAACTCAGGATTATTCCTCATCATAGCTGGTGTACCGTCGGTTGTGATTACAATGATTTTTTTTTATTGGTGTTCTCTTCAATAATATGGTTTTTAACTTCGTCATATATGTCTTGCCCTCGAGTGCGTTTCACCAAAGTCAGCATGGTTATTAACAGTGCTTCTGTTGCGGAGGTATCAAGAAACACTATTCTCGTGACCATCAGAAATTGCGTGAAGTCAGTAAGATCAACTCATAGATTCCTCAAACTGCTAGGGAATATACGCATATTTTTTTCAAAATCAGATCTCATTTATATCGTTCGCCATATCGTTCACTCATGATGCTACCATATTTTGTGATATAGCGGCACAACTTTTAGAGATGTGATTATTTCGTTTTTGTGCATAAATTCGTGAAATTAAGACTCAGCACAGCTTCCCTTTAAATGGTATGGTTTGAATATGCCTTTTTATGATATGCAAGAATGTAACATACTTTGAAATGCTTTTGTGTTTTTGTTTCATTTTGGGGGATAAAAAGACTGCTTTGTTGAGATTTTAGAGAAGATTTCAATGATTGACCTTTATTAACATTTACGTAAAGAAGACCTGAGTAGATATTAAGGGTTGAAATCCTTTTGAACAGTTTTATGATGACTTCCGGCATTCGATCGCTTTGGTACCGCTATTAAAGCATTGCAAAATGAACAAATTTCATTTTCGCTAGCTTGTAAATAGCAGTCCTTCCATTCCTGTTTAAATTTTTTTTAAAGTTTTGTTAAGTTTTTGTTTTGTTATCGATGGCTCTGACATGTCAGTCATGTTGACAAACACACCATAAAATATACAAAGTAATTAAAATATTATTTTAAAACTCACCAGAAACGGTTTGGTACACGCTAGCGCAAAATTTATGAACTTATTTTAACAGAACTGACGATGACCGTCGACTGCAAGGCTGGATGAATCATTGATCGATTGTGCAAACGTGCAGAGACGCCAGTAGCGAAAAATAAGTGTCAAAACAGGCACACTTTATCCTAATCCTCCTCGCAGATAAAACCGCGGAAACGAGATAAAGATGATAACACACCAGTAGACATATGCAATAACACACACGTATGTAACGTTTCTGTACACGACGTGTAATTGTCGTTTTTTGTGCAATTCTTATGTCTTTTATGTGAACTTTTTATGACGTGTATTTGCACTTTTTTGCATTACGATTTGAGTAAAAGTTTTCGTCTCATAACAATACTATGATTGTGGCTCGCGAGTGCCTAAAGATAGGATTATGGGCTACCCAACCCGGATTGGCACCACTGTTGTAAACTTTGCTCCTAAGAGGATCTGGGACCATAGCTTTTTATATCAGTCCTTCTGTACGGTAACTCCTTGTTCTGTTTCTCTCATATTCTGTTCAGAAGCTGAACTGTCCTCTTTAGTGTCTCTAATGCATTTTCTGTTTCTTCTAAACAAGGCCAGATTAAGATTTTTAGAGAAGTACTTAAGAGATTTTGGTGCCCCCACATACGATTACACTAGTTGTTTCTTCATTAATTCTCTCTCTCGGTTTTGGTTTAGCTGCACCATGCATTCCATGGGAAAACTGCCAATGGGAAATTTTTTCTGCCTCCTTTTCTGAATACCTAAGGACCTTTTCATGATGCCCCCTTTCTTTGATACCTTAAGTATTGTGGAGGGGATATAAGCGCAGGAGGGATTTTCGGCGATTTGTGTCCTTTTACTCCTTCACACAATTCGCCGTGTTTCTCACAAGAGTTAGGTAAATTTTATAAGGCACTAGGGCAACATCATCAGCCACGCTCGTATCGATGACGGAATGAGACGACGAATTGCCGGTAGATGGAGGCAGACCAATCACGTTCACAACGACGAATGAAGATCATTATTTGGCACTTTCAACGTGGTGACACAAGACTAATACAGCTTCAGAGCTCTTATATAAGCTGTATGCTGCCACTGGAATCCGAGTTGCACGGTCTACAGTTGATCGAAGTTTTGTGATATACTGCTGTATGCCGGAAGACCCACTTCTTGCATCTCACTAGTTGCAGCAAAAAAGAAAACGCGTTTAGAATGGTGTAGACAACATGAACTTTGGACCAGACTTTAGCGGAGCACCGTGTTTTAACAAATGAAGTCAATATTCAGCCCGGACATTGATTCTCGACGTACCCATAACTGGAGAAAGCTTGGAGCAAGATGCCATCCCTCTTTCCTTAACCCGCGGGAAGGCGCGTGGGGTGTATCATACCCCAATCCTACATAAAAGTAGAATATTCCTAACTTGTGAAACTGAAATTCTGTGCTGCTTTCAGTAGCTGAGTTTCTAGTTGTGGTTGACTTTCAGACCGCTTTTTTCTTTGTCTGTGTGTTTTCGAAAAAGATTTATCGGTATTTTTGTTGGAACTGGGGTATGACACACCCCACACGCCTGTCCGTGTAAGTGTTTTTTCTGATTGAGTATTTAGTTCAGAAATTTATTTCTAGAGTGTAACAGTAAATATTTCTACTCGCAGTGATTTTAAAGTACTTGACATTAAATTCTTAAAATTTCTAACTGCATTATGGTAAAAGATGAGTCCCTATGAACTGGAGATGCAACGCATGTGAGATTATTTGAAGAATATTTGAAGGCGATGAAGATTGCATTTCGGAAACTGAAGATAAACTAAGAATATTTTCTACAATGTTTTGGTTCGAAAAAGATAAACATTAATTCCTGATGTTCCTAAAAAAGGAAAAACTGTTTCTTATGCTTTCAAACATTATAACGATCATACTATAGATGATACTATGGAGAAAATAAATCGTCATGAATTATATGTTTAATATATGACTAAAGGAGCAGTGGATATGGGGATGAAATGTCAGCCAATTATTCAATTGCCAGAATAACAATAAGTGGCCAATGGTAATTTTCTTTCCTGCACTGAATGTTGCTGTAATAAATGCTTGAATTATATTACATTCAACTGCTAATCCCCAACAAACAGAAGTCTGTTTTTGAAGGACTTAGCATTACAATTAATGAAAAAAAGTATTGAACAAAGATCAGATTAATACTTTTCCAAGAAATTGACGTACTGCATGCGAAACAAAAGCAGAAGTTTCGATGAAGAATTAAAACGAATACTGAAATTCGAAACAACTAAGTATGAAGAATGTGTTAAATATTTTGCCCTCGCGCCAAGGACAGAAGAACGTGAATGCAATGTTTAAATGTGAAAACATTCTGTGCCAAGAACACATGAATGTATTTCGTTCAAAGTGTGAAATAAAAAAAAGCATGGTATATTAGAGATGCAATGAAACTTAGAAGCATGATGTTTTATTATTTTCATTTATCTTAATTTTAACTCTAAGATTATTCGGAAATTAATTTTTTGAAACCCAATTATTATTCACTTATTTATAATACACGAGAAAAAAAAAAAAAAAAAAAAAAAACAGTTTTAAAACTAAATAATACTATTTTTATTGTATTTTAAATATTGGGGTATGTGATACCCCACGCGCCCACTCTAGTAACTTTTCTTGGTGCGACTTCCGCTGGGTTAATATTGTTGCGTGCGTAAGAGGCTAATATGTCGTCATGAACAACTTTAGGCTTAGAATTCAATAACTTACGGATCCTAACTACGACGTTGTTCAGCCTGTTTAAGGATGACCTGTTCAGTCTGTTTAAGGATGTGTAAGGAATGATCCCAAGGTGACTGTAGCTTCGGAGAGACTCATTTCCGTCGAATTCGATCCACAACCATACCTTATCTTCTTCGTTGAATCGATGTCCTGTAGCTCTCGTATCATATCGGGTCTTCATGTTCTCCGTCGTCTCCTGCAAAATTGTGCATCGCTTCAAACAGTGCTTAAGTATGTACTCCTCAGAAGATGAAGACGCATCCAGAGTGCGACCTAACAAAAGATCACAAGGCAAACGAAGATCACGGCCGAAAAGCATCAGGCATGGGAAATAGCCGATAGTTTCTAGGACAGCACTGCGGAAAGCTAGTAAAAACATATCTAACTTCTTGTCCCAATGCTGATGGTTTCTAGAAACCATCAACGAGATGTTAGTAAGGTTGGTTCAATTAAATGTTTTACCATGACGTCTGACTGGGGATGTAAAGGTGTCGTTTGGGTTTTGTCAATGCCGAATAGCTTTCAGAGTTCTTTAATCACAGACGATGCAAAATTTCTTCCTTCATCGGAATGTAACTGAAGAGGCACTCTGAACCTGGAAATCCAATGCTGTATTATTACCTCTACCGTGACACAGTCTTGATCAGGATTAGGATATACTTTAGGTTACTTGCTGAAGTAATCAGTGACAACGAAGCTGTAGATATAGTCATCAGCAGTTCGTGGCAGAGGTAGCAGGATGTCAAAGGCGATGCCTTCAAAACGTGCTCCTATATTATAGCATGATTTGCGCCGCTTTTGCACGTCATCCCTTGCATTACACCAGTGGAAGTGCTCTCGAACTCTACTTAACTACTTATTCATTATTCCGAAGTGGCCTTCTGTTGGACTGCTATTTAATTCTTTAAGAACGTCCGAGATCCGAGATTTTGGAAGTATCAGCTGCCATCGGAATGCCTTTTCCTCATCCGATTCTAACTTCCGGTACAAGAAGATGTTACGAAATTGGAGTCTGGTCTTCCCTGATTTCTTCTTCACTCCATGGGTTTCGATCAGCCGATGTTGAAGTTGTAACTTCTCGTGCGACTGGATTCAGAAGCTCGAACCTGGAACAATATCGCAACTTTCTGGGCAGGGTCTTCTAGACAGAGTGTTCGCATTTCCATGTGATGATCCCTTCCGACGACGTATAGTCATGTCATATTGAGTCTCTGCATCCAACTGGTTATTAGCCTAATTCGGGGTTCTTGAAATTTAATAGCCAGGTCAACAATGCATAATCTGTGCTGAGCAGGAATTTTCTGCTCTAGAGATAATGATGAAACAGTTCTACGGCTTTGACAAGCGACTCATTCCTAGTAATTCCTCTCCGGTTTAGATAGACATGTGCTTCAGTAGACCATGACTCGTTTCTTGAGACAAAACAGCACTGTCAGTCTCATTCTTTGTATCTGTGTTTAGAATAATTTGTCGAGCTTAGGATGCCTGAAGATTGGAGTAGATATAAAAGCCTCCTTAAATTTGTTAAATGCATCCTCACACTCTTTTGTCCGCAAGAACTTTTGTGTGCACTCTCTTAGCTTGTGAAGGGGTTTTGCGATGGGAGAAAAGTCTTTCACGACTTTCCTATATTAGGTACAAAGGTCCAGGAAACTTCTAAGCTGATTGATATTTTCAAGGCGTCTCCAGTCTTCAACTCCTGACACACTTTCGGAATCCGTACGCACACCTTTGGCAGAGATAGCATATCCAATGCAAGTCACTTCCTCTCTAACTAGTTTACATTTAGAGGGACTCAACTTTAGATTGGCTTCTTTAAGTTTCTAAAGCACCTTTCTAAGATTTTCTAGATGCTCTTCAAAACTCTTTCCTATGATGATGACGTCATCCAGGTATATCAGACAGGCTTCCTAAGAACGACTCCTCAACACGGTCTCCATGAGACGTTCGAATGTTGCTGGCGCATTACACAGTCCAAACGGCATCACCTTGAACTGCCAAAGTCTTTGTCCAGTAGTAAAAGCCGTCTTTTATCGGTCATCAGGGATCTATCTCTACCTGCGAATATCCACTCTTTAAGTCAAGCGTCTAAAACCACTTGCTTCCAGAAAGAGTGTCCAGAATGTCATCAATTCTAGGAAGAAAGTAGCTGTCTTTCTTCGTAACCTCGGTCAACCAGAGATAATCAATTCAAAATCTAGTTGAATCATCGTTATTTCTGACCAGGACGATGAGAGATGCCCATGGACTTGCTGAAGGCTCTATGACATCCCTTTCTTTCATGTTCTTTTCCTACTTTTGTCTTTTAATAGAAGTTTATTTACTTCTTCATGTTTAACAATCGAGACACATCTTTGTTATTGCTGGATGATCCGCAGTATCGATTCTATGCTGTGTCAAATTGGTTCGACTCATGCCAGAGGACGAGTGAGAAAAAACCTCCTGAAATTGTTGCATGACACGTTCAGCAACACTCCTCTGTTCATCGTTTAATTTTGCATTCTGCAATAACTGCGATGTAATGCTCTCTGAAGATACAGATTCTGGAGGGTTACTGTTTCGTTTAACACTAAGCACAGGGATAAATTCCGCAAGCACTTCGCTCCGATGTAATGCTCTCTGAAGACACAGATTCTGCAGGATTACTGTTTCGTTTAACCCTGGTGACTGGAGTAAATTCTGCAACCACTTCACTTTTCCTAATGATTTTCACTTTATCACTGACGTTCGCACTATCTTCGATAAGTCGACGAGTGCCGAGGCTACCAGTACTCCACCCACGGTGTCAAAGTACATGGGATATTCCAATACACCATACCGAAAATTTCTGTTTTCAGTTATGGATCCAGGAAGTAAAAATTCTGTTCTTGCTCGTAATGTGATATCATTTTTAGCTATGACTTGATGGACAGATTTAACTCCTTCATCATTAATTGCGAATAGGGTTATGTACTCAGAGGCAGAATGTAGTTTATTATTTTTAAAATCCAACGAAAAATTGGGTTTCCTTAAAAAGTCCAATCCAAGTATGCGAGGATCTATAATATCTGCAACGCATATGCCGTGTGATTGTAGGCGACGCATCCAAACGCGATGTTAACGTTTAGTTTTTCGTCGATATAGATCTTCTCCCACAGCACAGTCTAAAGAGCAATGCAGGGCGGCGTCCAGATGAGTATATCTTCCAATTTTTTAGCAAGATCTTTTCGAATAATGTTAAAATTCGCTCCTAACCATATTGGAAGGACATAGCCATATTGAAAAATACGCCATTGATAGGTCCCATGATGAAGAGTTAATTACTACTGCTACTCATTGCAAAAATCTGAAGCGCTTTGAATTGGGCATTCTCATTATCTGGCAATCTCCGCTTCGCGAGATTTCAAAAAATTAGTTTCCCTCCTTCTTGCTAAGACAGCTCTTAGTTTCCGTGCCCTGGGATATTCTGCAGTTTCTTCGTACGTCTCCTTCAGCACCGCATTTCCTGCCCTTTAGGTTCAGTTTCTTGTCACTTCTATTTCGTCACAAGGCTTTGACTTTTCCATTTAAATCATCTAGACCAGATTCACTTGATTCTCCGGATCATGGACTTGAGCAGCGCTGATTCGGTGGTGGTGTCTACAAGTTGTTTGCTGGGCTGCCTTGAATTTCATGGCGCACACTAGATCGCTTTTTAAGTAATTTACATCCGCCATTCGCAGAGCTTTCTGTATTTCAGGATCCTGGATGCGATCGATGAAGTAGTACAAGGACAGAATTTCGCTTGTTTCTGTCAGGCACTCATAAAAAGTGAGATAAGACAGCCTTTTAACATCCTTGGCGAGACTCTGGAGTGCTTCTGTGCGCTTCTGTTGACGGCACTTTAACTGAAGCCTGCTGTAGTCTTTTCAACACTTCTCTCCAAAGCGGCCGCTGCGTCTGCTCTCAGAGAAGCGGCGAGGTGAAAGAACTTAGCTTGCGAATCTTATCCATTTGCGTCCTCCACTATAATGATTTATGTCAAACACTTGCCTGGAAATCTTCTCATTATATGTGGCTACATTTAGAGAGGGAACAGAAGGCATGGGTAAAAATTTTAAACTCTCAGGATTGCTTCCTGCTGTTGCAATGTATTTCTTTAAGGTATCAACTTCTCTGGCGACGGCAGCAGAAACCCAATCATCAAGTAGTTCGACCTTGTTGGACGGCAGTAACTCTTCCTTCGATTCGTTGCTCCACAGCAGAAAATCTCTGTTCTATCCGTTCTTTGACAGAAGATAATCTGTCTTCAGTGTGTCCAAGTTTATTTTCAACAGCGTCTATTCTGCCTTCCATAGCCTCATTTTTTTTTAATTATGCAGGTAATTTCTCTTGACCAGCTTTCATCTTTTTTGAACGGCTATCATCTCGTCTTTAACGGATTCTTCTATCTTTGTTTGAAAGGCTTCCATCTCTTCTTTAAGGGATTCTTCTATCTTTGTTTGAAAGGCTTCCATCTCTTCTTTAGGGATTCTTGATCAACTTCCATCTTTTTCTGTACAGCGATCATCTCTTCGTTAATGGAGTTCACTGTCTCTTCTAGCTTTTCTTAGAATGCAGCAAAGGCAGTCATGAGCTGCCTTAGCTGTTTGTCCATCGCGTTTGTCACCTGCATTCAATCCTACTTCTGACACCAAAAAAGTGTTGCGTGCATACGGATTCGTAAGATATTGAATGCACACAGGTCCGATCATAGATTAATAAAATTTATTATGAAAGGAAACACTTCAAAGGTCTGGAAATTTCCACAGAAATACTCGTACAGGTGGTCACAGTATCGCAGAGTACAATCAGTAGTTACACTTCAAACTACTAAGATCGTTAAATACGAGTACAACGCAATGTAAAGTGCAACTAAAGAGAATGAAAACCCGGGGATATCTCAGTTCACGCTGGACTAACAAGTTGTAACAATAACTCAGAGCAGATGCTCTCTCTGGCCTTATATAGTTTTACACCGGCAGCTGAGATACTCCTAGTACTTTCTGTTTCTCGAAATTATTGCAAAGCAATATGAGGGTCGAATTACAGTTGCAACTAAAATTGTGATCATTTACATTTATTCAATTAGAGTAGTTGTTACGGTAATAAAGGGTGTAAGGTATTTCTCCCGCCTTCCTAGCGTGCCTTCGTGGTGTAGTGGTTCTGCACGCTGGGCCAGTATTCCAAAGGTCCGCGGTTCGATTCCCGGCGAAGGCGTTGCTAATTTTTCCTCTCTTCTGCTTCCAAAAATTAACTTAATGTCGCTACAAGGGATGGGATTAAAATGTCGCCAAGTTTGGCGACTTTTAGCTATTTTCTCTCCAAAAGGTTTCAGCTGGTCGACTTTTAGATTGAAAGTGAGGATATTCGCCGCATGGATTGGCCAGCCAGATCTTCTGACCTTAACCATATAGAGCATGT